TCAATGTTCATGTTGTAAAATGATGAGAAATTTTCGGAAGCAGAATTTCAGGTACCAGATTAGTCCCCGTCAACCGCCGGGACCTTCCTTTCCTGCGCAAGCTTTCTATCCTCCGCTATGGTCCCTTCCTCCTGTGACACCAACACCTGGAAGTGACGCGTATGCAACACAATGGTGTTTCATACAGTAGAAGGGACACAATCATGATATGACGGTAGATTTTTCGCTTCCCTTCCTCATCCTCCCTTCCTCTCTCCACTGCCCTCCAGCTGCCACTGCAGCACCATGTGGAATGAACGGAAGTGTGCTAAGCAGGTGTTTATATAGCCCTGAAGAGTGTTATCACAACTATCCTGCTACAAAACATTGATATCTCAAATCCTGTAAGCTACCCGATTTGTTAGCGGTTTGTTTATCCCATGAGCTTCCTTCTCACTCACTTCATTTTGCGGACGGACACACATACATACATACACACACACACATACAGATACACAAACCGACACACAAAGTTAGCGCTTTAAAATAGAAGGATACAAAAAACTTCGTACTGCGCTATCAATTGTTGGCGGATGCTACATTTGAAGGGATGTGCATGAGCTATTCAGAAAATTTGTTCGATGCGAGAATTATAATTGACAACATATCTTAATTAGTTGTTAGTATGTGTGCGTTCGATTCCATCTATTCTTAATCATGAAGCTTTGGAACAGCGGCAGTGACGTCATTCGCACGGCCCATGCGGCCGAAAGTAGTCTTCGAATACTGTTTCGAAAAGCCAGAAAAACAAAATTGAATTATTTAATGCAGAATTCAAAATATTCAGAACTTTGAGCTCCTATACACCGTTTGTGTGACTTATAGGAGCCACGTTATATCACATTGGCACATCATAACTGATTGGCAATAGGTTAATTGCGTCACGCGTTGTCCTCCGAGTGTCGTAGCGACCGCGTCGGCGCGGTGTAGGACCATTCCGTGCTGCGTCCTTCAGTGGAGTCACATCTTCGAGGTTGCAGTCAGCTTCCGTTTTCGTATGTACTGCTGGAGTCATCCTCAAAGACCTCTTCACATGCGAGGCTCGCCAGACCGTGATCGTCGTCCGGGGAGAGACCGAGACTCTTACTAAACGGAATTGATTAAGAGGTTAAGTAAAAAACAGAATCATTAATACAGAGGCTTTTCTTAGAACCTGATCATCGCTGCGAGCTTTAATTCAATCAGGTAGAATTTCAAGGCGCTGAGTTTTGAATCCTTGTTCTGATGCGGCACGCTAACTGAGTTGCTGTGTCGAATAGATAAATATTGATAAGGTTGTCGCTGTGATTTCGAAATGAGCGTAGCGTAGGCTATCGAAACTAGTTCTTACCTATCAGCTCCATTTGTTTAACACATTACAACTACGGGTACTTCGACTTCAAGCCGCTACCAAACAGAACAAACCCCGCCCCCACACATACCCCGCCTCCTCGCCTGGCGCGATCAAAAAACATAAATCACTATTATTATTTCATGTGATGCCATAGAACTTATGGTGAGCATAGACTCAAGAATTTTGCCTTCTGCTCCTAAGCATCCGTCCGGCACAGGTCAGCTGTTTTATCCTGCGGACGACTAGCGCCCACTATCGCTGCAGTCGCCGTAGTAAGCGCGGTGCTCTGCGTCTCTATGTTGCGAGGGTCAGAGCGCAGACGGATAAAGAGAGCTGGGACAGACATTCAGAGAAAAACCCTGTAAAGCCCTGCCTCTTCGAAAACCCTTCACACATAGCCCAGGCATTTACCTTCCACTTCCAGAAGGCGTGCTATGTTTCTACGATTGGCCCAAATACCGTTCCAACAGCCTCTGAAATAACACAGCAAACTGTGAAATACAAACTTACTAGCAATCGGTGCTTTCAGACTGTGGCCGCGTAGTGCGAATGGAAGGCAGATGCAACTTATTCAGACATCCAGGCTTCTCGCCATGATGGCTGCATCCCGGTAGAGCTGACGGTTCGGGAGACGGAGAAGATGAGACTGTTGACACCGTTCGTGGACGGCTACCCCTCCTGTAAAGCAAGTATAAAATATCACAGAAAGGTCTTCTAATCGATCAACAAACTACATATATTTGATCTGTATCTATGTGTATGTAATCCCTCCCACTTCATCTTCCCCGTTTCTTTTTCATGAAAGATCTAATGGAGGACAGCTGGAGTCGCACTTGTCGTGTGCGCGTGGATGCTGGCGCTCAGCATGCTGGAAGCTGCCCCGGAGAAGCAGAGTATGGGAGCGCTCACTGTTCAAGCCAGTCTACGCTTCGCTACCACTGGGACTGGCCGTCTCTGTTTTGTCTTCACCCGCAGTCCATCATCAGCGCACGTCATGAAAAATCGCAGATGTACTACCGGTATGGACGCCCGAGGTGGATAGCTGGACCGTAGCCGCATCGTCCCCGTAAAGATGATCGCCTGGGTTCCATCCCCTGAGCAGTCAGTAGCCAGTCCCCGTCACTTCATCCAGAGACCATGAATAAGCTAGCAGCGTCATTTTCCAATGCTCCACCTCAGCCATTCCGAAAAATTAAGCAAAATAATAAATTTCAAGCGTCTTTGCGGGAATATGCTCGGGGCCCTCCAACTTAAAAACTAGTTTGCCCGTCCTCCTAGTTAAGTATAGTATCAATTGAATTGACCAGGCGGATGAAACGGCACGATACGATACGTGCTTGATGTCCTGACCCTGTGTTTTGTAAGTAGCGCCACATGCCACTACACCAATTCTGCCCTAAAAATTTCTATTCGTTTGAAAACTCTTATTACTAACTTGTGACTTGAGAATATCCTAGGTCTTGACCCATCGCTTCTCGGTGAAATCCAATCCACCAGTGAATTAGACTTTCTCCGGCATTCGGCCACAGCGTTCGCTTTACAATCACAGTGCACCGCCAAACCGCAATCCTTGCATTTCCAGCCTTGCCGGAGCAGACCCCACAGCTGCAAGAAGGACCGTTAGCGCCCTAATCCAGGACTGTGGCAAACCGGTAGGACTTACCAAACGGCCGCAATGACTGCACGACGTCGGAGCCAGGAACGTTGTCTCATGAAAATTGTGCTTGAATCCTAACCGAAAGTCGACTGAGTCGTTGTTCGCCTTTACAAAATAGGTCTTGAGCTCCTCCCGTGATATTTGACCGTCCCTGAAAGAAAATACAAGTGGAACCGAGCAACGTAAGGGGGCAAAAAACCGAACCCCTTGGGATTACTTCGATATTTTTAGTACCCGTTGTGACATCAAAACAAGTTGTTGACTACTTGTGAGTTAGCTTCTACTAATCTCCCATTCTCAGCATGAGTCAGCTTTAATCGGTTCGGAGAACAAAGCTTGGTGCCAAACTCCCTGTCTTTAAAACAGGGTTGGCCTACTGTGAATAATCTAAAGGTATGGTCCATTTGCGACAACCACGCGTACTATTTGATGTTCGAGGGAAAAACTGGCATGAAAAAAGGAGGGGAACAGATTTTAGATTTTAGCTGAAGGCCAGCTACTAAAATCTCCGGCGCAAATCCATTTGATTGAGCGGTGGTCCATCTCCTTCGGGTTCTGCCCCATCACCAGCACCATTTATGCCTTTAAAGCAACAGTCCCAGCAGGGTGGGCGTGGTCGGAAACGGCTGCAATCCCCTCGGCCGATTCCCACTTCGGAGCTGTTCAGCCCCTAGTCAAGAACGTAAGAAGTGTGACTGAACAAAAACTCACCTTGGAAAGCCGCTAGGGAGGGAGCTGAAGGCGTGGTCGGAATCGGCCGAGGGGATTGCAGTCGTTTCCGACCACGCCCACCCTGCTGGGACTGTTGCTTTAAGTCCCCCTTTATCGAGTCAGATATCAGTCAACGGCTGAATAATTAGCTAAAGCTATGATCATGTCGGAAAGCAGCCCTTATTTCACCGCATAATATAGATTTGAGCGTCAAGCATAGGTTATTCGAGCTTTTCTGAGTACCAAATTTGAGCAGTTGTTTTGTCTAGATGAAAAGCGATACCTGTCCAGATCAATGGTCCCAAATGGATCGATGAACGGGAAGTTACCGGAGATTTGAAGAAATTCGGCCTGACTGATGTAACCGTCACGGTCATTATCGTAGTGCTTGAAGACCTAAACAGAATCAACGCTGATTTCAAAGACAACCGGAAACACAGTGGCTATAATTGACAGAATAAAATTAATGAGCGGATTTGCTTTGTCAGAAAATATCAAGTATTCATCCCAACAGAAGGTTCTAGATGATGATCCTGAAAGATTCGTTAAGGTTCTATCCATCTGGTGCAATACCTTCACTTGTGAGCCAGGACTAGTTAGAAGAAGTTTGTTCATTTCATGGCTCTAAAATGCGCGAGGAGGCTTTATCGCTCGGAATCCCGCCCCTTGTGATAAAAGCGCTACAATCGAAACCATGGTGGTTTTTGTGTTGCGGCCGATTCCGATTCGAAACGATTTGAAGTGCGCTAATAGCAATCACGTACATCTCGATCAACCAAGTACATCCATCGCTGCGATATGTGTTTCGCCTTGCTAATTCGTCTCCGTCTGTTATCCTGAGACTGCGTCCGGTGCCTTATCAGACTGTCGTTCGAAATTTCCCGCCACCGTGTGGAGGGGCCTTATTTAGAGGTCCGCAGTAACTGATTTTCCTTTTCTCTCCATCGATATTCACTGTCTCACATCTCAACCTCATGCTATTACGAATTCGTTTTAGGAACCCGTAGTTTGCCTTAAAAACACCCATTCAACCGATGAAAATACAACCAAACCCAATTTCAAATTAACCTAGGGATGGTGAGTGGTACACGAAAGAAGGACAGAAAGGGCCCAGAACCCGAGAAATGGTACCCCTTCCTTGCCCGTTGATTCGAGCATTGATGCGACTCTCATCGCTGTGCCCTCTTCAACACTACGCTCTCTCAGCTATCTAATCACTCGCCACGTATTGAACTACGGCGAGTGATCAGATGATCGGTGGGCGGAGATCGCCGAGGTCAAATTTTTCCATGCGAATTGCGCGTCAGTTCGCACCCTCAGGAGGTCCGTGGGTCCCTCAACTAGGTCAGTTTCCCTTTCTTCGACCTTCATTCTAATCGTGAATTCCTCCTTTAACCCCATTCGCGACAATGGCAGCCACCGGTGGCTGACGCGAAGATGCTCACTTGGGACCATTTCATCCACCGGTTGCCCTCATGGAAAAAGTTTCAGCACCAATTGTTGATTTTTGCCACTTCACCTCACTTCAAGAAAGGGTCGCGAGGGACAATGATGGCCACCGGTAGCTGCCGCTTTGCGATCGTCTCAAACAAAGCTCGTCCGAACGGGCAGATTGAAAATCCTGCGCGGTCGCGAATGGGTTAATAATTCTCTCGATCCCATGCTATGGTCCGATAATTCAATCTCGAAAACACTGCTGAAAGAACCTGAACAACACCCGTCGATCGCTCACTCATTTACAAATCAGCGTCGCGAAAAAATAGCTCTCAAGGATGGTGCCTGTCAATGATCCCTATTTTAGGCGCGCATTTCGTAGGGTACGGGGGAGGAGAACATTCATGTGAGGGAGCCACTTAGCGTACTAGGGGCTAAGCTTCAGGAATTGAAAGGAATCCTCGGGGAGAATGCGGGCAACTGTTCTTCCTGGCGTATGAGCTTATAGTGCCACCTTGCATCGCGGTTTGCCCTGTTTTGAATGTCAACCCTCCCAAAGGCCAAGGGCGCCCTATTTCATTCTTGTCTCACTGAAAGGCAAACTGCAGGACATCAACTTAGTGGAACTCCAACTTGGAAGGCAAAGCTTGTGCTTCGAAGCACACCACAGTTATACCCCTAAAGAAGCACTCACGAAACTAGGCCTGAATTTCCCAGAAAAAAACTCCGTGTGGCGCCGTCGAGGTATACGCGGACCGTCCACAGACTGTGATCCGTGCCGAGGGTGCATACCATAACACTTTGTTACGGTATCTACCGTATTTATGTCGTCCACTACGAGTAAATATCTGTTGCGTTTGGTCCAGGGCATTGTCTTCGGGGTCCACATCTGGGAGGACAGGAATAATGCTTCAAAGGTCCACTTTTACCCCACGACCTCAGATCCTAGTGAATTACTGTTTACTTATTGGGGAAGCAATTCGGTTTTCTCACAAACAGATTTTTCTTACTTCTTTCTCTTCATAGACTTTTCATTAGTTAATCATTGAATAGCTTCTTGATTTATTGTTGTTATTTATTGGTGTATTATAGCTTTATTTATCATGTTTTATCTTACTTTTATCAATTCTAATTTTCTTGCAAAACCCTCTGCTCAAGTGTGGCTACTTACCGCGTCTACCATCGCCGTGACGTGTTTGTTGACGGTTTCCGGATCGAGAGTCGCCGACACACCGGACGCCCATTCGGCAAACACTACCGGAGTGCTTGGTTCGAACTAAAAATCAAAAATGGTAGAAAAAATCATAAACATTAACAGGAAATGAAATAAATAAATAAACTAATAATACAACCCTTCATTTTCAAAAAGCTTAGCTAAAATGCATTCCTACCGTCATAAACGTCCGTGGCTCTCGGCGAAGCGACAACTCGTAGATGTCTTCCTCGTTGTAGCGGATGTCCAGCGATACCTACGAATTTTGATATTTGCATAGTTTATCAGATCTCTTAAATAAAAAATGATAACTGAATAAGTCATTAAGAAAGCCCGTAGCTATGTGCCTAAAGTAAACCTTCAAAAATTGTTTACCTAACTTGTTGTTATTTTGAGTAAATGGGACCTAGAATTACCACTGAAGAGTTTACGGTAAGAGAACGTCACACAAAGAAAAAGGCTCATGGAGATACAGTAGATAGGAGAGGGGGAAGGAATTTGTTGAAAATCTCCCACTTCTCAAAATCCTAGTCCCATAACTTACGGAAATACCCATGCCCACTTCACCAAATACATCCCTTTGGGAATTTCACAAATAAGGCCCCTCGGGTCGCTGAGTGATCGTCTAAGGTGTGGTTGGCCCGTCCTCAGAGGCAGTAACCAGTGGGCAGCAGAGTCAAACTCATGGCACCGCGAAAAATCTTGTAATAGAACCCCCCTCCACCTCCTTGCACGACAAACCTCAACATCGTTACCTGTCGCTACAAACCACCCGAGCTCAACGTTGTAGAGGTGTCTCTCTGACGATTGTGGGACTTCATTACCATTCTCTTGGGGACGCACCAAAAGGGCTATGAGGGAACGGGTACCCCCCAGGAGGCCCGTCGCGCGGCAAGAAGGCAAAGTCAGCGGACGAGTCGCGCGCGTACTATAGGGATTTCGCGTCAAGTTAAATAGAGTGTCCCACTGCACGTCCTACATCGCACACCACGCGCTGCAACTCGTCCGCCGACTCTGCCTTCTTGCCGCGCGACGGGCCTCCTGGGGGTACCCGGGAGCTCGGAAGCCACACATACCCTCATCTTGTTCCCCGCTTTTAACTGACAATAAGGATAGAGATTTGCGCACACGTTCTCCTATCAGTTTCTATGTACTACATATCAGGCATATAACAGTAAGCAAGGTTAAGCGATGCGCCATGCGTTCTGCTTCTCTTCACTTCGAACCAATAAAATCATAAAATTATTTTATGATCAAGTGTGGGATACCTTGAGTGTGTTGATCAGGTCCAAATTCGCCTCTGGAAAATTATGCTGCCGTTGATTGAAGATCATAAAATGAGAAAGTAACGTTGCGAGGCGATGTAATCTGAAAAAAAGAATAGGTAGTTTTTGATGAGTTCGTCAATAGTTTATCAGTTATTCAACTACGTCTAATAAAGTATGATAAACTGTTCACGATAGTCCAATAGATAATCACTGAAATAGAAAAATGGAGTTATAGATACTGAGGAAAGCGAAGGAAACCGTTGGAAACGCGTCGCCAAAGATAGAAATGTTCCTGCAGCTTCTTGCTGAGGGAACACTGGGAGAAAGCAGACGTTATGGAGGCGGGAGCGTGTTGGGATGAGCGAGACATAAACAGCTCGGTGACTTCACTCTGGGGTACTCGCCCTAGGGGTAGAGCCAGGCAGAGTGGGGCCCTTCGCGGATCTCCAAATTCGCGTCACGGGATTGATCCTAACCGAAGTGCTTGCAGATCTGTGTCCCTTTATCGTTCAGCTTCAATCCTTCAGGTCATCGTGTAATGTCAATTAAAGGAATCTTCCACGGAAAGACTGCTTATCCCTTCCTTGTGTACAGGTGTTGGGCATGGTCATTGAAGACCATATGCAAAGTTCAGAGCGAAAATGATGAAACCCAAGAGAAACAGCCCTTGGAAAGACCCATCTGTGGGACCGGATTGGACCAGTAGGCGGGACCGGAAGTGCTTCTGTGACGAAGTGCGTGGCAGGTGCGGATCCACGTGTCAGTTTATGGGAAGGGCCCAACATGAATCCAGTTCACGTTCACGCTTTTGACACGTTTGCACGTGTTGACTCCACGCCGCTAACAGTTGTGGAAGTTTTACAGCGGGAATTCAAAATTTTCATAGTCGAACTGGTTATCATAATTATTATCAAAACCATCGCCTATGTTCCGTTCTTTTTGCTATCTTCATGAAGCAAGGGGCCTAAGGTATCGTTTTTTTTGTAGGAATGGAGGCGATGTTTTTCCGTGGAAGATTCCTTTAAGTCAGCATACAATGTTTAAAGGACGAATTCACGCTGGAAAGGCAACCCATTTCAAATTAAGTTAGCGATGGTGAGTGGTACACTAAAGAAGGAAAAACCATGAGAAACGCCCAGAACCCGAGAAATGGGACCCCTTCCTTGCCCGTTGATTTGAGCATTGATGCGACTCTCATCGCTGTGCCCTCTTCAACACTACGCTCTCTCACTATCTAATCACTCGCCACGTATAGACCTGCGGCGAGTGATCAGATGATCGGTGGGCGTGCACTGACCAGCCGCGGCGGGATTAAACCTTAATAGGTCAACGAGGTCAACTCCTCCTGTGCAAATTGTGCTTCAGTTCGCACACTTAGGAGCTCCGCGGGTCCCTCAACCAGGTGAATTCTTCCTAATTCGATTTTCCCTCTGATCGTGAATTCGTCCTTTAATAGCTCTAAATGTTTTAATTCTTCATTTCCCGAGAAAGAACTATAACACCTTATACGGAAAAGAATCCCTGAGAACTAAGTGAGAAATAATAACGTTTTGAGTAAATGATTCTGATTGAATGAAATTTGATGAATAGAACTGAATTAAACACATTGCTCAGTAAAAAATCTATGCAGAAGTGTAACACACCTTCTTAAGCTGATAGTCATCGTCTTGTCGAAGTTCGCACCGCAACAAGTGGCAGCAACAAGATCCTTCAAATGAACGCCTCTGGAAAGTGTCACTAAAAGTTGAAAGAAAGCTTTTGCGGGTGTTAGCTGAGAGGGTTAACGCAAAGAGTCGTTTATTCAAAAATTTATTCGCGCATGCGCCATGCATTCTACCACCGGGTACGGCCTGCTTCACCCCTAGACTGCATTGCGCCCCTGACCTTAGGCTGCTTTCATAGTTCGCATCGGTGCGGTCGGTGCCGTCGGTGCCGACGGGCGCCGACCGCACCGACAGTGTGAAGAGCGTCAATACGCGCTCTGGCGCATGACGCGTGCGCTTGGGCGCAGATGGGGGCTCCGATCGATAATCTTGGTTTTGGTGTATTTCTTGTGCTTTTTCGATGTTTTTTTCGCGCCGTGTTGCTTTTATTCGTGTGTTATCTGCTCATACTTATTCTTTTATGTCTCGTTTCATACTTTTCAGTTGTTCCGCGGACGAGCGACTTCGTAGAACCCCGTCGTACTACCCCGGGTGAAGTGGCTATACCGGGTGAGTTCATCATAAGCAATTTTGTTTATTCGAGTGGACTCTATAATTTTAGAAGTTGCTTTTTCTTCGATACGATTTCCTGCTGGTGTGCGAAAGGCCGCCGGATCTTGGTAATTTAATTATTCGCACACCAGCAGGAAATCGTATCGAAGAGAAAGCAACTACTGGAAACATACAGTTCACTCGAATAAACAAAATTGCTCATGATGAACTCACCGGTATAGTTGAAGCCACGTACGACGGGGTTCTACGAAGTCGCTCGTCCGCGGAACAACTGAAAAGTATGAATCAAGACATAAAAGAATAAGTATGAACAGAAAACACACGAATAAAAGCAACACGGCGCAAAAAAAAACATCGAAAAAGACAAGAAATACACCAAAACCAGGATTATCGATCGGAGCGCGCGATCTGCGCCCAACGTACGCGTCATGCGCCAGAGCGCGTATTCGCACTTCGGTGCTGTCGGTGCGTCGGCGCCGTCGGCACCGACCGCACCGATGCGAACTATGAAAGCAGCCTTAGATGAACGTGCTGTAACTTCGAGTACAGTGGTCTACCTAGTCCAGGGTGACATGCCAGTTTGAATTCAACTCAAACAGCCGAACCTTCTACAAGTCAGTTAGTGGGACACATTTTTGTTAGAGAATAAAGCCGCCGACTTCCACATGGATTGGCTCCGGCTATGGACGAAATTTCATTCAAAAACTACTACTACACTAAACTAGAAGTAGAATGCATGGCGCGTGCCAGAAAACAAGACATCAATGACCAGAACTATTCCATTCAATCAATATCTCCAAAAGGGAGGTAATGAACGGAAAGTTGAAGTAAAAAAGAACTTACATAATCGGAATCCTAAAGTGTGATCCTAAGCTATTCAGCGCTTTTCTGTACTCGCCGAAATTCGATTGAACAGAGAGCAAATTTGTGAGCTGATTCAATTCCTTAAACAAACAATAAACAACAATAGACAAACAATAGCGATTAAGCACAGCAAGCAAACATCAGCAGAAGACCAATAAGCCATTATCACTAAAAAAATTAATAAACGAGAAAAAATGCAAGAAATGCAGAAATTTAGCATGGCTTCGTGAGTTGACAGCTTATACTTCGGAATAGATTTTTGAAATTGAAATAGATAACAATTTTAGCTCCATTTTTTCCCAATATTATTGTTAATAATTTTTACCTTCTTCAATTTTTTCAACTTTATTCTTGATGGTAAGAACTACATTTTCTGTATAGTGCTTCAATGCATAGTTTTTCAAAGAGCTTCATCCTGATCGAACACAAAAAAGACCTATCGATTTCCATAAGCATGGAATCGACAAATGACCCAATTTCGAGAAAACTCTCACCTTCCTAGTTTCCGGTGCCAGCTGCGAGTTGGTTTTTGATAACCGCGAGATATTGCTGTGTGTGATACCACCGATGACCGCCATTAAAGTGTTGAAATTGCACAATTTTCGTAAATGCTGAAAGTGATATCATTTCTACCGTATACGAACACTTATATGGTAGTTGTTGTGAAGGTTTGCAGCCGATGAGCTAGAGGATTGTGTGTCAACAGTTGATACGGGTTTAACAAAATTATTTCCTCATTCGAAGGGTCATGATAAACTGCTAGTGATAACAAGGTGCTCATAGCGGTGGGGGAGGGAGTAGCATTCAGAAAAGGCATTCAAGCGGTAAGTGACACTGGGACTAAGCCCAGGAGAGGGGCAGCACGAGAGGGAACAAGGAATGCTCACATCGTACCTCCAACAGAATACCTTTCTCGCTTAGTCCCAAGTACTACAGCACCAACGACATGGGGTAACTTGGGTTAATCTCCATGATTTCTGATCATATTTCGGAGCATTAACAACACCGAAATTGGCAAAAATTTCAAAAATATACGAGACCCTCCACCATCGCGGGCGATTTTCATAGAATGTACATTCTGGGACCAGGGACAGGGCCTCGATCAGCCTCCTTATTTTATTCACCTGGTCTCGACCTGCCGTCGAGCCGCAGGAGACGGGGTGGAGGGGGAGCAGTTGCTGACCCCAATAAAGTTGTCTAAGTTCGGTTTTTTTTCCTATTTTCGCGTTCGGCTGCTGCAATTTCAAATGTAAAGGAAATCCAAGAAGTAACTCTCCCACCTCCGCTACAAATGTTAACCCATAAAGTACTGACGGGCCGGAGCATTCGGTGACAATAAGGGAGATGGCTTCTCTGAATCATATCTTTTTTCGCCATTGTTTCATGTCCATTTCTTGCGCTCTTCTTTCTACTATCGTGACTGCGATCTGGACTGCTAACATGGTCACTTACCTTGCCTACATTCACAAATTTCGTCACAATTGCAGCCCTCTCCTTGGGCGTCGTTTTGCTAAGAACCATAATTTGTACCCAATTCGAGAGATTCTGAACATGCAGATGTGGGGAAAAATAATTAAGGCATAAACAAAATCACGAAGACCTAACATAACAGCAAGTGAAGGAAAATTTGCACATTGCAATGTGGGTGGAACAAAAAAACAAACAATTTTTGTTTGTTATTCTTATGGAGAAATTATTAAGCTAGCGTAAACCCTGATCTGAAATCTCACCACTAATACGTCGCGCGTTTACTTGATGTTTAAAAAAGAACACCGTTAAGAAATGTCGATTCTATTGCCAGGTTGGACGAGGGGTGCTGTGAGCGAAAACTCACAGTCATTAAAGGCTGAATAATGGTCACGATTTCTGAATTTTCCAAAATGCAATCACGTACTATCTCCCTAACTAAGGGCTCTTCAAAGATTCATAGCGGCAATTTCGAATCTCAAGTCGGGCATTACGGATCCGTTCATTGTCACCGCAGCAAAAAAATACGGGGGAAAAAAACTCCCCTCCTCGTTCTGGCACCAACGAAGTTATACGATTTCGAGGGTGACTCACCCTGAGCTGAAAAACCAGAAAAGCCCAGGCCGTAATTGTTCACTCAGTGAAGGGAAATCTGCTCAAACGTTGTGACAGCAGGAGCTTAATGCGGAATTTACTATTTGAAAGCAGCCCATTAGAATCAAGGTAGAGGTGCTAAGTGGTGCCAGAATGAAGTAGAAATAATGACGACAAAGAGCCGAGGAATGGGACTCCGTGTTGGGCTTTCGCGTATTGATGCGACTTCATGGTGCTGCCCTGTTCAATGCTAGCGCTCTCTGCTAAACGGCTGGAGACTGCGGCGAGTGGTTAGCCAGCCGATTGGGCGTCCCGTTCATAGCGCCGCGAGGAGGGCTATGCTTCGCGCTATCTTTCCCGCAGAATTGAGTGTTGGTCCGCATCCATATAAGGTCCACCTGTCCTTCACTAAGATAAGTTCCCCTTTTTCGACTTTCAACCTTATCGTGGAATGCTCTTCAAACAACAGCGCCTCTGTACAGGATTACAGCCCCTCATACATTAGGAATCAATAAGAAATTCCACAGGGAAATTCACCCATCTTGTAATTTTTTGTATGTAATGAAACGAATCCTCCCTCTACACAGAAACAACAAATTATACTTTGAAAAAGCGTTCTAGGACCTCTGCATGTCACCTCGATTTCTCAAATTCGAGACGGTTTTTCAGGAACTGGCGGAATAACAAGTCTGTATTCACTTATAGTAATTATTATTTATAACGTTATCTTAAAAAGTATGAAACTAACATTAAATATGGATATTGATCGCTCTAACATAGGCGTATTCGCTGGGGACCCGCTTTGACGTACGTTAAGTTCAGGCAGCTGTGAAAGGAAAGAAAAACCTTCCACATATTAATTGATGGTGACAAAGAAGATGATGCTGGACTTTTAACCGTTCCATATTCTCCCAAAACTGCTCTACTTATCTTTGCTGAATTCATCAGGCCAAGTAATATTTGAAAAAGAGTTCATTGAAACCTCCAAAGTGGAACATGTCTTTAAAGAATATTCCAGAGAACATAAATATGCGTAAGCTTTCAAAATCCCACCAAACTTGTAATTTCCGCTGTAATTGCACAAAAAAGAACGCCGTGTCGAAGTGAAACTCACAGAAATCCTACTAAGTACTTTATAGTCGATATGCGATAATGACGTCGATATGTCTTCAGGACTCCACTGCTCAAATGACAGCGAAACCTGACGAGCGACCGGTTGACGAACCGAAAGTGCCCGAAGCCATGCGTACGACGGCCTGAAATTGAAAACTTCGACAAATTCCATCACTTCTTCTGATATGAGCGCATTTCAAACTGTGAAATTTACTTCCGAACCCTGAAAGGTTTACTGCCTGGAACTTCACTAGCGCACAGATAGGGGCGATGTTATGTGGCGCAGCTCCACCCTATATGGTCCGTGGATCAAATCCCGGATACTCTAAGCCATCCAAGAAATCCCAACACTTCAGCGTTCACTGCTACCGTAACTGCATTCTCTTCAACTATCCTGGCCCCTGATATCATTTGTAGGCAAGGTGAATACCCTCGTGCGAATACGTGAACAAAAGTGTGTGCGTGGCGCATCCCAAAAATGTTCTGACAAACCACTTCATTCATTGGCTTTAGAACCGAAACCCTACTGAAAAAATTAGACCTCTATTCTTGATAGCAAACATGGTGGCAAGCCATCGACCACGAAGGATGAAAATATTCTAGCGTAAACAAGATTCGATCCCCGAATTCGATCCTAGGATCGTGCAACCAATAGCAGCGCCACTTTCCACTGGTCTTCGATTGCCCCGTTTCTTTTTGTAACCTTTGAAAAATCGTGCGCCGTGAATCACACAAATGAAATCGGTTTGCGTCCATCACTTTCCCTAATGCTCATGCAGAAATCACGATGGCTGGAGGGCGGTGCGGTTTTGATGACGTCATTGAGTCATTTGTGGGCTAGCCTCCTCCCGCGCTGAGATTATGGTTAGGACCGACTCCAACGCCCTTCCGCTAATGATGTCCAATGGCTTCCTTAAAGCGCACCGCCCACCTGCGATCGGATCACTGCTTTCAAGGGAAGGTGTTTTTAGAATTAGAAATAGCCGAGTATAAACCGTAAATGCGCCATGAACTCCTACATCTGCTTTTCCGGATATCATAATGTAAGCATTGATGATATTGTGACGACACTTCCATATCCATTTTCATTTCCCTCAAATTCTGCCTCTATCCTTCCAACTAGGTTTCTTCATTTAACGAGTTATGAGATCTGGGATACCCTCAGGCGCCTCTGCGTTATGAAAACATCGACCCAAAAACCAATTAAGCGTGGGATTATTTTTGAAACCCTTCTCAGAATTTTCACGCTCGGATGAAAACAGGAGGAGCCTCTTAAATGACATCATGCAGAAGGTCCAATATTTTCGTATTCCTGAACGCTAATGAAATTGCCATTCCACGAGATCCGCCGCGAGCAGCGATGGAAAGCATCGATGACGTGAAAAATGCTATATTTGGTTCATGTTAATGTGATGCGACGAATTCCCGTGCTATGCTTCTGGGAACTGATTGCACTGATGCTTGCTGCATAGATTCATCTTGCAAAACTGCCATGCAACGGAAACGCTTCCAGTGACACAGACTGTGATTTACGGGAACAATGAAAGGATGATCCTCATATTTCAGAAATTTTATTAGATATTTGTTTATTTATGCCTCCGATGAAGGCACTATGGTCGCGGTAAAAAAAAGGATAAAGCATTTGCCGTTGATCAATCCCTTTTGGGATGCGGCACGCATTCTACTTCCATTTGTACATTCGTAGTGGCGTTTGAATGCGATGTGGCCTATACAATGACTTGCGGGGGCCAGCCGATGTACAAGTCAGTGTTTTTATCCTCCCAGACAAGTCTGGTACCAATTAACCGACCCCGGAGGGATGGAAGGCTTGGTTGGCCCGGGCGACTCACGACCCAGGATTTGATCCCCGGACCGCTCGCGTGTGGTACTGCACTTATACCACGAAGTTATAACGATCGTATAGAGTAGCTTCGTTTAGTCGAATCAAATGTGTTTGCAGACTAGAATCTCACTTCAGTTAACAAGTCCAGCAAGGTAGGAAAGCATGGACACGGAGTGATCAAATGATTTTTATGTGTAGACAGTAGGGGAAAACACAAAGACGGGACTGGGTTTTGTGCACGCGGTTCGATTCTCGTCTGCGGCCGAAGTTTTGCCCAAAAAACAGCACTCCTTTCGGAAAAATTTCTGCGATGATTGAGCTGGCGCAGATAAGGGTTACCGTGCCTTGCGCAGTTCCTTGCGTAGGGGCGACTGCCGTAGTCTGGGTTGGTGGCGTGCAGAAGGCTGGAAAAGGGAGGGGGGGCCGTATTGGAGGTACTAAAGGCTGGGGTGGTGTCGGTGAGTGAGGGGATTCTTAGCGAAACTTTTCCAAAGAAGACAAGTTGTAAATTATTCTAGAAATTAGACAGCGGACGATTGGGGCTTGGCAACCAAGTCTTTGGAATTCAAATTGATAAGGACAAGGCATGCTCATGACTGATGATGAAGCACGTGACTAGTTCGGTCTCCTTGACTGGAGTTGGTATGTATTCTTCTATTCAGAATCGCGGTGGTATCTGAACGCAACTTGGCCTACCGCAGTACATAACTCCTATGAACAAGCTGAATAGGTCGGTAAACTTGGGTCCCAGATGGGTCTGTCAACGGGCGCAATAATCGTTGTACTTAGAGCAAATGAATCCGAGAAGGGACGGTTACTTAGATGCCGTAGGCAAAGACCTATTTGGTCATGTGGACGAGAAGCAGTTTACCGGTTCGCTTCTACACTCCTGATGAACGCTTGGAAGCTCCTGTAGATGAAGCGCGTATTCTTATGCCCTGATGTAGTGTACGCCTCATTCGTCCATCTTCGATCTATCGTCCCTAATTGTCCGGCTAAAGTACACGTTTCCCTGACAAGTTCCCGGCGCGCATGAGCAGTTAGTCTACAAGCTGCGGAACTGAAAGTGGTCGCGATCAACACAGCAGGTGCTATATCTTTGCAAGAGTTGCATGCGTTTTGACATACTAGTGCGAACTGAAGGAAAAAGTAAAATAAGTTGTCACGCGCAAAGTGCAACGTCTGGTCAGAATGATTTGTTGCTACAAATGGGAATCATTTATATGGCTTTAAAAGCACGCCAGGATTCGAACTATGGTTTACACACGTAAAAGCCTTTGTGTGAAGTGTGCCGGCGTAAAGAAAAAAAGGAAGTACCCGACCAAAACGCTGAAACTCATGGCTTAGCCAGTTGTTCAGTTTGGCAGTGTTAAGGCAATGAGAGGTTGAGGACAGAGAGTACAACAAATGGGAGAGCGTCAGACACCAACATGCTACAGACGAGAAAAAAACTGAAGCGGTTGAAGAGGTCCACACAAGCCCCTAGCGCCCTTGATGCGCACTTTAGAGCCGGGAGAACGGGACATGTGCGATCTCACAAGGGAGTCTTTCAGGGCAAGCCGCGCTTTTTGGAAACGGTTTCTTGCATATTGTAGGGACGCATGTATGGACCACAAAACCATGTTTCGTTTTCGCTGAACGGTTTTAGTAGTACCAAAAAAGTGGTGAATGATACCCTTGATGGTTCGATCCCCCGCGGCGACTAAATTTTGCAATCAAGGTTGGCGGCCACTTGTTGGCTTCAAAATGGTCCTGACGATGAATTGACATCTGATTTTGACATTTAGCGCGATTTGGCACCAAACCGTAGGCGCCAACCCAAATGCAAAATTTAGTCGCCACGGGGATCGAACCATTAACAGTACCTTATGCTTTTTTGGTACTGCTAAAACCGTTCAGCGAAAATGAAACATGGTTTTGTGTTCCATGCGTCCCTACAATATGCAGAAACGTTTTGAAAAAGCGTGGCTTGCCCTGAAAGACCCCCCCCCCCCTTGTTAGTGAGTAGCTCAATCTCCTACAGCAGAAGGGATTCATCATCCGAAAATATCCTGACTTTTACCTCCAAAGGCATCATTCGCGACAGCAACGACGGGGAAAAGTGAGTATGGGGTCAAGTATGAAACAATGGTTCTAATTATGTCAGTAGAAAAGGAAAATAAACAACTAAAGAAAGTTCAAGTGCAATTTTTTCTGAGGGCTGGGAGAGCGAAAGATTGTAAGCGATCTAAAAGACGTTGCGTAAAGGTGAGAGAACAAGAAGCGGAATCGACAGAGCATAGCCAGGAGCAAGACATGGATGGTGCAATTGTCCCCCAAAATGTTGAAAAAAAGAGGGAAAAGAACTGTTGATGCTGTGACAGTTATACATTTCAGCATGTTTACTTACCACATTAAGAACGACGCCCTTTTTCTCCTTTTTGGGAACGGGTGCCATTTCCGCCCCCCCCCCTAATTGTGTAAAAAGTGAACAAAACGTGAACGACACAAAGAGATTTCAGTACTCTATAAGACTTTGACTATTCCTGATATCAAAAAGGCGCGAAAAATTACGACAAACCGGTTGGTATTCAATGATTAGCTGGCAGCCCCATATGGGCTGCACTGACATGCATGTGTTAATGAACTTACAAATTCGAAACGTCGATCATCTGCCTGGTCTCCTCGGGTACATCGTTGGCCAATGTTCGCGAAAACGTATGGCAAGTTGTCGAAGTGATTGTTGGCCATCGAAATGATGAGGAAACCGTCGAATCCAGTATATCACAGCTAAGCAGAGTCGAACCCGGATTCTCAACTCCTTCGACTCCTTAAAAGCTCTCGCTTGAAATGTGAACATTTCAGGTCACGTGATAGTATTTTTAGTGAAGAAAATTCGAAGCATTTCTCCGCATGCAGTTCTACCGGAAGGTAAGTGGTAGGCGGACGACCACAAAAACACTATGGGAATCAAATTCCAGATTTAGTCCGATCCCGGCTAGCCAAGCAATCCAGCCAGCGAGACTAAAATTGTCTGCGACGATGACTGTTCGGCGAGGGAGTGGGATGGCCCTACTGTTCTTATGTGCTCAACGCATGAAAAGCCAAACCTGAAGGGTGACGATGAACTGTGCGAGAAGCTGCGTACTGTCGACGAGCCATTGATGGGCGACAAACAGGCTGAACAGGAACTCGTCATCCACCACATCACCATCGTCATCTGAAATGAGCTGAAATAAATAAAATATCCCATAAAAGGTCATAGATTCCATCCACGCTCTCACTTTCGCACTCTACAAACACACTCTTATCTTAATTCGTAAGCGAGAAGTGGGGCTTCCCGCCTGGGGCGAAGAAGTTAGCCTGGAACCCAGCACTACTGTGGTATCACGCTCTATTCACCGCCTGTCTAGTACAGTGTTTAACATAATAAAAACTCAATAAAAACCTATAGATAAAAATTAGTGGAAAATCAACAATAAAAAAGTGGAGTCCAAGGCACCCGTGATGATCGATCCTTTCTGAAACGCGCCACGCACTCTACATTTTAGAGAATCATGGAATATTTGGATGGGACTTAGCTATACAATACATACAGACAACCCATCATGTCAAGTAATTATGGGTCAAGTTGAAAAACGGAGGTTTCAAGGCAAACGGCGCCAATTCACAAATTGAATATCAACCCCGAAGGCATCTGTATTGGGACATGCGAATCTCTGGTTAGGGATCGAGGTGGAATTGACAAGGTTTCCACGGAGCAGAATAGGATCTAGTTGGGGCACAGCGAAGTAATAGTTACAGGTAGGAGAAATCAAAGAAGGATGGGGTGAGGCCTTGGAAATATAGATGAGTGGTGGACCCAGCTGAAGGGCTAAACGTTTGTCGCTAAGGAGTATAGGGGGTTGTAATAGCCACGCTTGGGGCTCGTATTAGCCATACTTCCCTGACATCCCTTTTCTGAATCGCGCATTCCCAGCTTCACTTGTGTGAGTGGAGCCTTCACCTTTAGAATAGCCTCTTTCTAATTCTATATAACGTAAGGGATGTGTTCATTAGCGCTGTTGTGAACACATTGTTCGTACATGATGTGACTTAAAGGAGAGGGAATTCACGATTAAAAATTGAAGTCGTCAAGGAAGGGAAACTGACCCTTGTTGAGGACCACGGACCTCCTGTGAGTGCGAACTATAATTCGCCACTCACAGGAGGTCCGATGACGCGCAATTCGCATGGAAAAATTTGACCTCGGCGACCTATCATGCCTCAAAGCTGGCGGGTCCGGCGATCTCCGCCCACCGATCATCTGATCACTCGCCGTAGTTCAATACGTGGCGAGTGATTAGATAGCTGAGAGAGCGTAGTGTTGAAGAGGGCACAGCGATGAGAGTGCTCGAATCAACGGGCAAGGAAGGGGTACCATTTCTCGGGTTCTGGGCCGTTTCTCATGGTTCTTCCTTCTTTCGTGTACCACTCACCATCCCTAGGTTAATTTGAAATGGGTTGCTTTTTCATCGTGAATTCGTCCTTTAGGTAGGCCAGATGCCAAATCCCGACGAGCGTGCGTCGGACGCAAAATCGCAGATGTTCTTTGTCTTCTTCGGCTTTCGCTCGATATTTATGAATAGTTCCCAGGCTGCAACGCTCCCTCGTGGTGCTCAGCTGTGGAGCTGTGCCATTCATCATCTTGACTACACGACCTCGTTCCCCATAGCCGCAAAGCGCCAGGAACTTCTATGGCGTTGAGCGCAAAACTGTCACACAAAACTTTCAAATTCCTTAGTTGTTGTCTTTTTCAGACAGATGTAGAGCAATGGGTGGTGGCGCCGCCATTGTGTGCATTTTTCGTGGATCGAATCCAATTCGACAAACAAACCAAGCCCCCTCCCCCTCCAACAACAGCCAGCTGTACAGTATTCCATTGTGTTCAAGCCATGAGATCGTCAGTGAACGAGCGTAAGCAGGGGTACACTGTGTATTGTAATCAGGCGCACCTGTAAATGCAGACTAAACAACACAAGTGACGAAAGCCTTCAAAAACCTGATAACTGGTAGTTTATGGTGACAGCTGATAGCTGATACGTGATAGCTGTAATAAGTGACAATTAGTGAAATACACCTCCAAGCGGCTATCCATTCCGTTGGTTGAAAACTGCCACATTTTGTGGAGGCGACGTCAACTGTGTTGTTTGGTCTGCATTACAGAAGCACTTGGCCGGTATGTGGCCGCTGAGCATGTTTTGGACTCAAACAGCGAATTTCACTGTCTTGCCTCCCCACCTACATCTCGCTGAAACCATCTACGACCTCTGCCGTAAAAATCCTATATACGACCCCTTCCTAATAACGAAGGAGTTAGCAGAAAAAAAAGTTGACCAAGGCTTACACTGCTGAGTAGATGAAACGAAAGTGTTGGACTTTATCGGAGGTTGTTCATATTTTACTGTAGTAGTTGATACACGAATTTAAATACCACCACGGAGGTCAAATACATGGCGCATTTTGGAAAACAAGTAATCCGCTTCTTTGCTTTTTTGTTTTATTGCCTTCTTCAGGGTCAACTGTTCGGCTACCCCTTCTACAGGGACCGCTCATAGTGGCTCAATTTCGATGATTGAAAATAGTAGATGCGATGAAAAGGATCGAAAAATGAAGCACCAGGTTGACCAAACGCTATTGGGAAGCGCCATGCATTCTACTTCCATTCAGGATCGTGGTGGCAGCTGTATGCTGTTTGAAATATACAGTAACATGCTGGCACCAGCTAATCCTCAAGTCACTGCTTTGTCCTCTTAGACTAATCAGACCAGTGTCAATCAACCAACCCCGGAGGACTTGCTCCGCCTAAGTCAGAGTTGATTCAGGATTTGACCTCTTGCTCAAGCGGTAAAGGGCGCACTTGGCAATACAGGGTACCCCCCAGGAGGCCCATCGCGCGGCAAGAAGGCAGAGTCGGCGGACGAGTCGCAGCGCGTGATGTGCGATGTAGGACGTGCAATGGGACATTCTATTTAACTTGACGCGAAATCCCTAATACGCGCAATACTCTATACTATACATTATACGAAGAATTCACGATTAGAATGAAGGTCGAAGAAAGGGAAACTGACCTAGTTGAGGGACCCACGGACCTCCTGAGGGTGCGAACTGACGCGCAATTCGCATGGAAAAATTTGACCTCGGCGACCTATCATGCCTCAAAGCTGGCGGGTCCGGCGATCTCCGCCCACCGATCAATTAGTAGTGCAAGAGAGCGTAGTGTTGAAGAGGGCACAGCGATGAGAGTCGCATCAATGCTCGAATCAACGGGCAAGGAAGGGGTACCATTTCTCGGGTTCTGGGCCGTTTCTCATGGTTCTTCCTTCTTTCGTGTACCACTCACCATCCCTAGGTTAATTTGAAATGGGTTGCTTTTTCATCGTGAATTCGTCCTTTAAAGACGAGAAATGCCTAGCGTGCGCGCGCGACTCGTCTGACTTCGCCTTTTTGCCGCGCGACGGGCCTCTGGGGGGTACCCGGCAATACACCACCTCTCTTCTGTTAAACACAATTCCGTGTCTACCCAATTTTCTTCCATTGGCTCCATACCCTTCTCGATAAAGTTTTTGAAAAAAGGCCGATATATTTATCAATAGTTTTTGTCTTGTAGTTGAATAGAATCTGAAACACTACGGTTCAATTACGGTACAACATGGCCGCTGTGGTATTGAAAGGAGGATTATGATAACAATGAAATAACGAATGCAAAAAGGGGCTTCTTTGCTCGGCCCAATGGCACGATGCGTGAATATCACCGATTATAATGATTTTTGGCATTTTCTTACGATTCTGAACTTATAGCAATGAAAGCAGCTTCT